ACAGTTCAAAAAGAACTTACAATTTATAAACCAACAATTGCTCATACCGTACTTACACTTACTGTACGTGGAAATCAATCAATATTTACTCGATCTAAGCACATGACAACTTAATTGGTCATTCAATATACAGTAATAATAAAATATCTAAAATAGGAAAAACCGGTTTGGCGCTCTATTGCTAAGCCGTCACCTAAATTTTTCGTATATATAAGGACGTTTTCATTTTTTCGTTAATTGGAAAGGTGACGCTGATCTCCATCATAACTCAGGCAGCGTTGGTCACAGTACTCGAGAGTTTGGTTGTCTATTATCATCTCAGTTTTACATCGTATTATGTTTTGGACGACATTGGTTATGGAATATCATTATCAGACGTGATCTATCATCTCATGTAAATATATGACCTATTCTAAACTTATCATGCCAAAACCTCAATTAATTCTTTTTTGATATAGATTCATTATATCTTTTGGATTTCAAATACTACTCTGCATTGATGCACTGTTGAGTCGTAACTCGATCCAACTAGTTGCGTTGGTGGTATTCAATCTGCTGACATTGATATATTCTGGGATACAGCTTTATCAACATAAAATTCTTGAAGATCAGGGAACAGAAAATTCACCATACATCCCTTCATCCTCACTCCCCACATCGGAATCAGCAAAAGTTTACTTTGAGTCAAAGATGAGACCAATAGAGTATGTTATCATAGGAATCGTTTTAGCTTTCTCGGTATACTTGTCATCGTTGGTTTATAAATTGTAAGTTCTTTTTGAACTGTCGTTTTTTATTTTTTTTTGATTTTGATTCAATCTTCTAAAAATCCGTTCTTCTATAATAGATATATAGAGTTCGGGTGGGAAAATTACAAGGCGTACTTAGCTGATATCAAAGTTAGAAATGCACTTATATCCATTTCGATCTTACAAACCCTCATAAAAATGGACATATTTTTCGTTGTGTCCTATGCCATCCAATTAATTCCCTCCCAGGAATTAGGCTATTCTCCAACAATCGTTGAAACAGTTCTGACCTTTTTCTTTGGCACTATAATGATGTTAATGGCCTGGTTTTCCGTCACAAGAGAATCCAAATATCTCCTTTTGTCCGTGATCAATCTTTTGGGTATATCAATGTTCTATCTGATTTACAAATTGGTAAAAGTTAATCTGATCCCTTCGGATGGTGGATGGGATCCTTATAGATTCACTCGTCGCTTCTTGACATTCTTCTTGGCTACTACGCTTGTGCTGGTGGCAACAACCATATATTATGGGATCATATGTTTTAAAAATATGATGGAAGGTACTTATGTACTCACGGTGTACGGGGCTAAGACTGTGGTCTCGAATAATGGTGGGAAGAGAGCCACCCTGATCCTGCAGAACCAGTCGAGGCAAGATAGAGCGGAAATTGACTAAAGTGGGAATTCGTTGGGGTGAAAGGTTGTTCGAAGAGCAGTTCTCATTTAAATTATCCCATTCATCAAGTTTTTCGAGACAGATTATGCTCAAAAATATTGTCCCCCTTTTATTTTTAAATATTTCGCTAGAATTCAATTTTTTATTGTATCTTTATTCTAATACGATTTCAGTGTAAATTTTCTATGCATTCGTAAATATAAAGCACGGTTTCGTTTTTTTTTTTTTTTTCTTCTTTAACCTTGCATCATTTATTGTAAATGGAGGTAGCCTTCGTTTCGTATCTGTCAAGTCTCCCAGAAAATCACACGCCAATCCAATAGACGTCTCGGCAAAGGTTCTTGGGCTGGTTTTTAATGGAGACAAATGTTTTACTGCTGGTTGTGGGCAATGAAACTCAACCGGTTCTTGTCATCCAAAGAAAGCTCCTCCATTAAGCCACAGAACAAAAGCCATTGCAATCACGACGTTCCTTGGAAGTTTACCAGTATGCTAAAAATATAATTTGATTATATGCATAAAATACCGGTCTTTTCTTTTAACAGCTACAGCACGGACGTTTTCCAATTACTGTATTAACATATTGCTATCAAATTTAATGCGGTGGCTCCCATAAATAACGTATCACTTGATCAAAACCAGTTTTCGCAAAATAATTATTTGTTTTTTTTTATTATTATATAATTGTTTATTTTTTGTTACGTATTTAAATTTTTTTTCTCTTGTATAACTATATAAGCTTAGCTTAGAAAATATGTTTAAGTTTACCTTTTTTAAAAAAAAAATACTCGATCAAAAATATTGTCCTTCAAAAAAATATTAATTAATTATCAATAATAAAATTAAGAAAAAAAAATGAGAATAAATAAAAAATCTAATATCAATATAAAAAAAAACTCTTTTTGTTGATTCTCTGAAAAAGATTTTCACTTAATTTTTTTGTTAACAAAGTCTTAATACTTTCATTAAAACAACTTGAAGTTTGATTTTAAAAATTGTTTTTACCTTTTTCTCTTGTTTATAAATCACTTCACTTAAAAACTTAACTTCTGATAATTAAGAAAAGACAAGTAATAAAACTTAACTTCTGATAATTAAAAAAAGACAAGTAACACCTTTGATATGATGACAAGAAAGATTTCAAAAATAGAAAGACTAATTATAAAATATCTAAAGATATTTTTAATCTTTAAAATAAAAGATTATAAAAATTCTGTTAAAATAGAATATTTTATTTTTTTTTCTAAGTAAAATGATGTTTTCTAAATTTAATTTAGAATACTTCAGTATAATAATAAGTTGGTTATTATATCAAAAATATATAATATAATAGATATTTACTAAACTTCTCAATAAAATTTTTGCTATAATATATAAATTTTTTGTTATAATATACAAATTTTTTATTACAGTATATCAAATTTAATATTAAATTTTTTATTACAATATTTCAAATTGATACTAATTTATTGTTAATTTTAATTTATCAATTTTTTACTAAATTATTATTGATATTTTATATACTAAATAACAATAATTAAAAAGAATTTATCATTAATAGATTTAATTTAATTACCAAATAATTTTAATTCATATTATAAACTTTACTAAACTTAATATTAGTTGATTATTTAAAAAAATTAATTAGTATAATAAAAAAAAATTATTGTATATTTTTAAACTTATTTTTTTTTTTTTTTTTTAACTGCAACTGGTATTAGATATGAGACTTTATTTGGCAATTCGAATTCCATAGTCATTATATCAAACATCTCTACATATGTAGATTAATATTAACCTATTGCGGCAATCCTAGCTAGATCTACTACTAATGATGGGTCCTTAAAGTATTTAGCATATAAAATTTTGCAGATCACTTATGTTCCTTTTTGAGGGACAAAATTCATAGCTCTTCACTTTAATAGGGACAAAAGTCAGGAAACGTTATAAATCAATGATTTAGATAATGGAGAACATTTTGAGTAGTTTTTTTATAGTTATTAATTTAAAAATTTTAATTTTTCCTAGTGAGGGACATTTGACTTATGTTTTTGCCTCCCCCTTTAGGGACCCATCTTTACCTACTACTACTAAGAAAGTGTGCACATCTAGCTAGTAGCTAGATAATTAATACACAGTCATAAATGGTGATAAGTTAGGCTAGTTAGTATAGAGCTTATATAACTATTTTTATTGTACACTAAGCTAGAACTATTGATTATACCTGACGGAATGTATACACCCTCCAATATTCCCAGATATTATTCATCCAGACCTCAAAAGAAGACATGTTACCTTCTTTGTCACCACCTGTGACATCGGATCAGTCCCATTTGACTGATTTTCATTTAAGTAAAGCACCAGATTGAGATATCCTGAGCTAGGGAAGTGGGTTGTATTATGGAGTCTGCCATGTCAAGAAAGGTTGTGGGCTTTTATGGGAGTTAGACCAGAAACCTTTTCTTGTGCAACCTTTCTTGCTTCAACCTATTTTTTAGCTCACGATCGTCAAAAAGACCAAAGATCCTATCTTTATACAACCTAACTGAATTTGGTGGGATCTGAATGATTGAGTATGACTTTTACAAAATAATTGGTAAATTTGATCAGAAGAGTATTTGATTTTTTTGGTCCTTAAGTGGTATTGAACTAAAGACCTTGTGATTGTGACCTGGATATTTTTAAACTTATTATATTTGTATTAAATATTGTATATATAAGATATATATATTTTTTTTTTTATATTTTTTTTAAGAAATAATAAAGAATAAAACTTTGAAAAATTATTATATTTATTTATTTTATAATTAGAATAATAACAACAAAAGTGAATAATGATTTAATTAATATTATAATATTGAGAATATAAAAAATATATATAAATTTATATATTTATATATTTTATAAAAAATATATATATCTATAAATAATAAATAAGAACAAAAGAATAAAAACTCTTTCTGTAAAAAATCTTCAATCGCAAAAATTTCCTTATAAGGTAATAAAACAAAATTTTAACCAAAAAGCGACTGAGCTCTTCCCAGGAGCCCCTCTAAGTTGTAAGACGAGTTCTCAATACTAAACATTGTGCTCTCAGATGCTTCAGTACCAAAAGTTTCAATAGTATATAAACAAAACAAAACTTCAAAAGTATTTTTAACAAAGCTTGCTCAGGAAACCACCATCCCATTTCTTCTAAACTGTCCTGAATCATGGCTTATTCCCATCTGCAATACTAACTCTAGTGATCTTGAAGTTATCCAAATCAATTTTCTTAAGAAACAAACAAGAGTATTCCCTCCCTCTCTCCAAGTTTCCATCTAGAAAATGAAACACCTCGATATTGAAACATTGAATGTCTTTATAAACCACTAAACAGGATTTCACCTTGAAAAAGATAACAGAGAGCTTGCTATTCGGGAAATGGTCAAAAACACCTTAAACTACAAGCTCCACTGGCCTTGGAATCGAATCTCCATATTAATTGATGACAACCTTGGCACTTTCTCTCTCAGAAAAAAGGAAACACTGGCCCCCCTCCCAATACTTCTGTAGCACAAGACGATCCTTCTGGTACAACAGAAAATTCTCAAGGAAATCTCCCTCCAATGCGAACCGATACACAAATTACTCCCATGACACAGACCCCATAGACCAGCCAGATATGGAAATAGATGAGCATTACACAAATGACACAAGGAACTCCATTGATCGATGGTGAGCCAAGAGGAA